TGCATTTCATCAGCTCAAGCATTATAGAGTTTTTAAAAAATGGTATTCAAATTGTAGCACAATATATCTTACAACAAGAGAAAAACAAACTGGAAAGCTTGTAAAAACTCACACATATCTGGTACAGACATGAGCCCCATGTGAACAATATACCCATGTAAAGAGAAATAAGCAGATTATGAGCATAAACGTTTGACCCATATACAGTATATGTGAATTTAACACTGCCTGGTAAAATTTTCTTTCTGATTAACTATCTTTATGATGTAGTCATATGATTAATTATCAATTATTACATTTTAAAAACTTTAAGGAAATTATAAATATTTCCTTTGGGAGGAATAAAACATTTGAATGGCTCTTTGTACATGGGCATGTACACATCCTTTTTAGATAAGAGGACAAGGAAGATATTTTTAAATTGATGAAACTATATTTTTTAATTCTTTGGAAATATTCTTTTCAAAGACAGCTTTATCCGTAAATAAGTCACTATCAATTACTTAGGTAGCCATAAAAGATAGTAGAAATTGAATTTATAAGTGCAGAAATCATACCAGAATCCTCATTCCGTCATCTTTAAAAAGCCTTAATAAAAACAAATTAGTTACTGCAAAATAAGGGCTATTAGAATGCTGAGGGCACATAAGTATCCAGTGTCAAGCAGGCAAGCCCAGTCTCTCTGCTGGTGGACAGCCTGGTTGCCCTGTGAGCGGCATGTGAACAAACACCCATTGGAAAAAGAGTATCTTATTTTCTGTGGTTTGACTGTTTGTAAAGAGAGTTTAGGGAGTAGGTTAAAATATTTGATGTTATAGCTAGCTGAGGCCCTCAGAGTAATAATCAGGACTATTTTATCACTTAGGTATAAAGCTAGTTCAGGCTTCTGGGAATTGGCTAGTTAGGGATATTTCAACAAGTTTTGTGCCTCAAAGTTCTTCCTGAAATTTCTAGTGTAATGTTCATCTGAATTCAGACCACTTGAAATCACACGCACGAGTGATGTTCCTCTGGGCTCTACAACACTTGCACATTATGGAGCAAACTGTAAAGAGGCCATAAAAACAGTGTACTTTGGCCACAACTCTTTTCAAAACTTGAGTATATGTTTCTTTTAAACCAGAGTAGGTGATACTGAATATATTATTTTAAATCAGTCACAGTATTTTTCTCAAAGTTGTATTTTAATGTTATTTTCTTAGAGGATTTGCTTCCTTATGTTATATAAGGCTGTCAGATATTGTCTCTTCTTGATTTTCACATTTTGTCATCAAATCTATCCTGTTGACTGAACTACAGCTTACTGATGGATGGATACACCTGAAATCATGGAATAAATAAATTGGTAAGAAAACATGGATCAAAATTTGAAAAGGTTAACAATATTTTCTGTGCTTTCCTAAGTTATATGCAAGGGTTAAAACTTATAAAACTATAGAGAGAATTCTGTATCACTCATGCATGGAATGAAGTTTCTCAAAGCATATATTAACTATTTTGACTCAGGAGTGATAGAATGTATGGCTATTACTATTAACAAATATCTGTGAACTGAATTTTGAGCTAAAAACCGAAAAACAAAAATTTTGAAATAAGACAAAAATCTATATAGGAAAAACTTTTATGTGTTTACAAATATGAGACAAAAACAATGCTCATAAAATATATGCATTCAGCTTAACACAGACACCAGCTACTCTTCCTTCCTTTCTTTTACCCATATGTCCATTAAATACTCATCCGCCATCCATCATCTATCTATACATCTCAGAAACACGTGCTAGGCACTCTTCTGGACAGTTGAGGACATACAGTGCTATGAACTGAATGTTTGTGTCCCTCCTAAATTCATATGTTGAAACCTAATCACCAGTGTGACGATATTTGGAGATGAGGCCTTTGGGAGGTGATTAGGTTATGTGGGGGGAGCACTCCTGAAAGGGAGTAGTGCCCTCATAAAAGAGACCCCAGAGCACTGTAAGAGGGCCCCCTTCAGACACTGAATGCTGGCACCTTTATTTTGGAATTCCAAACCTCCAGAACTGTGAGAAATAAACACTTGTCATTGAAGCCACCCAATCTACAATATTCTGTTATAGCAGCTTGAACTAAGACAAGCAGTAAATCAAACAACATTCCTGTCTTCAGAGTGTTACTATCCTAGCAGAGGAGACAGACAAATAAGCAACAATCAAGCAAACAAATGAATAAATAATACAATTTCAGGTAGTGACAGGTACTATGAAGAAAAATAAAAAGAAAGACGATAGAAATTGACTGCAGAATGAACGGGGAGCTATTTAGATATACTTGTCAGAGAAGGCCTCCCCCAAGAAGCAAAGGAGCAGCATTTCATTGAGCAAACAAATGAATAAATAATACAATTTCAGGTAGTGACAGGTACTATGAAGAAAAATAAAGCAAAAGAGGATAGAAATTGACTGCAGAATGAACGGGGAGGTATTTAGATATACTTGTCAGAGAAGGCCTCCCCAAGAAGCAAAGGAGCAGCATTTCATTAATGGTATGATTATGACTTGAATTTACTAAACTGTTACATTTTTTGACTTGCTGATTTCCAGTGGAGCACTACATGGTAGCCCTAAGTAAGCAATGAAAATTAATAGTTTGGTACAAGCATTAATTCTGAAGAGATATCCACCTTAACAGAGAAATAAGAGAACAAAGCATTTCAATGTACAAAGAGATTTTCCCCATTTTCCAAATCTGATAAGGAAAAACAAAAGTTAGACAATGAATAAATTTTAAACCAAAGAATGTCATTTTACTGACTAATCAAAGATAATATTAAGAGTAATTTTTTCTTCTCCATGAGGCATTTTTATAGGCATTCTTCTCATAATATAAGCTTTATAAGCAAAATGCAAAGGTAGTGAAAATACTTCCTTAGGTGAGCAGTGCTTTTGAATTATATAGTGAATAAAAAGGTGCTGTGAAAAGCAATAAGCACTATACAGACATAATGTATTATTATTATTACTGTTATTAGCCAACTAACCTGAAGATGAAGGAAGCTGATCATAGTCCTGTGATGTTCTGTTGGATTTGACGTTTTCACCTGGTAATCTCCTAGCAGGAGGCAAAGGAACTTGGCCACTTGCTGGATCAAAAAAGGGATCTTAAAAATAAAGATAATTTTCAAATTAAATGAATGATCTCTGCCACCTGGCTGAAGAAAAAATTCTAAAATTTTTCAATAAAGATTAAAACTTTCAAAAATAAATTAAAAAATTAATTTCATGACTGATATTATCCATTTTCTAATCTGCCTGCATATTTTCTAATTTATTCATCACTTGCTCAAATATGCTCTTCCCAAATATTTTTACATAATAAAGACAACTGATTTAATATTTATATTTTTCAGATATCTTATTTGATTATAAGATTAAGGATAAAAACAGCTTCTAAATTTTATTTTCGGTCCCAAGCCATCCTGTACAATAAATGAAGTCATTTCTAAAGTAAAAGTGAAAAAAAAAAAGGTTTAGATTTTACTTATAAGATTACCATCAAATCACTTAAACAAACATATATTTTCCAATAAAATTTTTTTGGTTATCCTCACGTAAACCACATGTATCATTGCATTAGAATTTATTAGCCATTACTTCATAACTTGATGGCCATTATGAATGGGCTTTTTCTGTTTTCACAGAAAACATCTCTACTGAGTCACCACATCACTTTATAGATGATCATATAAAAGAACTTTTATGTTTGTCTTAACGCCATTACCAAATTCCTTTCAGTAACATATTTTCACTTTTTTTTTTCTTATATGACACTGATTTACTGTTGAGCACTAACTTCAAGATATTGCTAAATGATAGTTTTGTTTTGTTTTTTAGGTATTTCACCTTTCCCCCCAAATGCTGATATAATGAATGGCAACCCTATAAGAGCTGCCTGAATTGCTAATAATTATCATTCATACACTTCCACAGCAACACCATGGCCTTCCATTCAAGAATAAAAATGGTCTTTTCAGAGAAGCATTTAGGTGAATCATTTAGGTGAATTTTTTTTTTCCTTTTTGTCTTTTTTTTTGTCCGGCAACGGATCGCAACCCTCAGTGTTGCGCCCGTACTGGACTGGGACCAGCAACGGGATCGCAACCCTCAGTGTTGCGCTCGCACCTCGCTCAGCCAGTGAGCGGGAACCGGTCTGTATGTGGGATCCGAACCCTCGGCGGGAGCGCCGCCACACTCCCAAGCGGCGCACTGTAGCAGTGCGCCACCGGGCCGGCCCAGGCTTCTCTGTTTTCCTCTCTCATATTACTTTCTTGAATGGGGTCAGTTTCTCCAAAGGTATCATAAGTTCTTCTAAGGGCAGGGATTTTGCCTTAATCATATTTGAATTCTACCTCCTAACTGAAATAAAGAACCTAGCACAATGCTTGGCAAACAGCCTGCACTTAATAAATATTTTCTTTTAACTACCAAAAATAAATATTCACACAGATTTGTATTTTTTATAAATTCAAAATCAGTGAAACTTGAGTTGCTAACATAAGTCAGAAACTAAATATTAAAGTAGGCCTAACTTTATTTCATTGTTTTAACATCCATTTGAGTTTGCCATTAAGAATATGTAAGAATTTGGTTATTTAAGAAGGGAATACATGCTTTAAAATGTCCTATTTTTAAGCTAATTTTTGACTAGGTAATGCAAGGCAAGATTTGAAGCCCTTAAGTATTTATTTTTCCCCCTTTTTGGAGTACAATAATTATCATCAGCTTTGCTGGGGACTTTTTGACTTAGGCAGGGCTACTTAACTTGCTTTCATGAATTTCAAGATTAAAATAACTTAGATTTCGAGCTTTCAGTATTTGAAGAGGTGACAGTTCAGCCTCATTAAATTTGCTGAAACATTTTAGGAAAGAATGAGAAGATAAATTCCATGTGACAAATGTTGATCTTTTGGCTTGTTAGAGGAACCAAGGAACCAAAGATGGTGATTTCTGCATAAATTTTTGGATTTCCCAAAGATTTAGATTTAAGTATTCAATAAAATTTACTTCAGGTTTTTCTGCACTGTAAATGCCCCTGATATAACTTTAAGTGAGAAGGAAGATTGTCCTTTACAATACATACACTGTTTATTTCCTTAGGGGTAATTTATAGGCTTGTCAGATACACTTAAGCTATTCCTTTCTTTGTTTTTTTTTTTTTTTTTAAGAGGAAATAGTGAATGTCTTTATTTCTGAGGAGAGAAGAATGAAACACACAGAAAGAACTTTACAAAGATTCAAGTGACCAGCAGGAGAGCTTTTTTATGTTTCCTTAGGGGACTAACACACTAGATAGAGTAGAAATAGACCACAGTGGCTGACTTGACTTGGGTGCAAATCGGGTTTCATACTTAGGTTGTTCACATTTATACATTTATACTACACTGCTCCACTAAACTATTTTACTTAAAAAGGCACTAGATACACTAAAAAAATATTACCATTATTAGCAAAAATACTTATTTATGGTTCAGTTCTCAATCATTACCATGTTCTGTATTGTTTCATGCTAGGTTTGCTATTGGTCAGGTATGGGGAAAACTGGGCTCTCTGTAACAAATTATGAAGTTGGAAGCGTTCATGCTTCAAAGGGAAAGACATTATATATAATACGATTACTACACAGAGTACAATAATTACCTTCTGCCCCCTGATAAGGAAATTTTAAAAAGCAATAAAGCTTTTCTAAAATAAATTCTTTAAAAACTAATTAAGGGAAAATTTTCTATCCACATTTAGGATTAAAAATGTACAAACTGAAAATGCCATAGACAATGTATCATTTACACAGAAGTGTTTTGAGATACAAATAAATACACACAGTGGAATTAATCTGTTCTAAAAAGTAAAGTACTATTATTGCCTGTGATTTACAGTATGGTAATGCAAAATTAAAAATTTTAAACTTATTTGAAAGATTATAAAAAACTAAGGAAACACTAGGAGGAAAGGGTTTGCTAACTAAAAAAGAAGAGAGAAAATATGCATCAATCGAAATTATGTCGTGTAAGAATACTTACCAGCACAAATAATTATCATGACGTATTAAGTTATCTCCAAAATTTTAAAAGAATTCATCAATGCAGAATTTAATTGTTGGAAAGGGTTTGAAGAGCCATTTAGGGCAAATAAACCTTTTCCCTGTTTGCTGCCCTCACTCTTTAAGTCTTTAACTTACATTCATGAAATCTGCAATACGTAGTGATCTAGACACTGATTAAAATCCTCCAGTATTAAAGAACTCACGACCCCCCTAAGGTAGAACACTTTTTATTACTTTAGGAAATCTAGTCATATGATGAATCAAATTTTCATTCTTAACACTGCTCGGTGGTCTGTTTACATTCATGAAATCTGCAATACGTAGTGATCTAGACACTGATTAAAATCCTCCAGTATTAGAGAACTCACGACCCCCCTAACGTAGAACACTTTTTATTACTTTAGGAAATCTAGTCATATGATGAATCAAATTTTCATTCTTAACACTGCTCGGTGGTCTGTCTTCTACATTCTAAGGTAACACAGAATATAATCCTTCCCCCAATATAAGGGTCCTTCGTGGAAAAAAAGCTCGTGGAAAAATAGAATTAAAAGATAATACAAATCTTTCCATGAACTTTTTGAAGACTCCCCATACTATAATTGAAGACACCTCTACAATATATCCAAGGTCTTCTCTTTTCTGGGCTAAACACCCTCAGTTCCTTTAATCCACTGTAGTTTACTTGGGGTGGTATAAATCTCCTATATCGTAGTCCAGAGTGGCTCAAACTTGAGTGTACATCAGAATGACCCAGAAGGCTAGTGAAAACACAGATCACTGGGTCCTACTCCCAGAGTTTCTGATTTAGTAAGTCCTGAATTTTCATTTTAAAGAAAATCCCCAGAAGATGCTGATGCTGCTAATCCGGAAACCACAATTTGAGAACCGCTGCTCTAGCCCATTAATCCTTCGACACTGACACTCGAAAGCAGTGGTCTCTATGCAGGCTTTACTCCTCTGATTTGCATTCTGAGTTCAGCCCCCAAATCTCACGAGCTTCCTTGGTAGCTACATCATCTTAGTGTTTCATAAAAACTGTAGTCAACAAAACTCTCTAAAACCTCCTCAACAGCTATTGCTAATGATCTGGATTTTTTCCTATTTTACTTATGCAATTACATTTCTGTATCTAAGAATAAAACCTTCATTTATCTTTAATAAAGTCAATTTTGCTAGCTTTTAGAGTTACATTGTGACTTTAAGATTGATCAAGAACCATAACAGAGATTCTAGGTTAGAGAAACAATAAAAGAAAGGTGGTTATAAGGGCTGCAAAAACATTGTGTATTTTGTGCACTGCACAAAGACACCCAGTTATGGGTATGAGCAGGACTTAAATTCAGCCTTTGCTTTGTTCCTAGAGCACTGGCCCTGGCATGAAGTAGAGGGAGAGGTGCCTATTTCAACCCACCAGCACAAAGGAAGTGCTTTTTTGTAATATGAAAAAAAGAAACACATACACACTAGCAGTAGCCTTGGGTTTGGAGACAGGACAGCATAAAGCTTTTGAGGACTCTGGGTTTTGTTAAGATATGATTGGCCTTTCCAGAATAGACAGCTCATGCATAGCAGTGGGCATTACTATTTTGCCAAAAGAAATCTTGTATAAAAGCCTAAAATAGAAAACAGACAAAAGAAGAACCAGCTCTGCTCCTGCTTCGCTCCCCCGCCTTGATCCTGCAGGAGTCCTGAGGCTTCTCTACAGAAACACAGGCCCCTGTGGTTTAAAAATCACTACTATACAGAGAGGTCAATGGGCTAGAAGGCTGGAAAGCTGAACCTGACTCAATTGTGCAGGGCACCGAATGCTGGAATAAAGAGGTAAGTTTGATTAGGTATTTAATATAATATATCATGAGAAAAATCAACCTTTTTTTCTATGACACCTATCCTTCGTCTTTAATTAGAAATAATCACTTCCTCAAGCAAACCAAATCTCAATAATGCTTGGAAAAGATTTATCATTACGCTGGGCTAAGACTTCACAGACTGAAAAACAGTGAAAACAGTAACAGTAAAATGCTCATGGAGTTTGTTTAAATTTAGCAGTCACCTTTGTTTACCTTTTGTAGTTCTGGAACTATTGAGTTAAACTTTAGTTCAGCATTTATAGTGTATTCTTCCATGAAGTTCCATTCTTAGGGTGAACTGCTGTCATGAAGCTCCTACTAGATATCTTTAGGTAGCATAATGTATTAAATACTTTGGAAAATGATACTCGAATGCTTATTTATGAGCTAAAAGAAACCTTCATGTTCTATGATATCATTATGTAATAGAATTAAAATATTTCTTTATTTAGGGGAGAACTAATATATACTGCTTTGAATTACATAAAAATAACTGTGGTAATGGAGGTCATAAAGGATCTGGCACCAGACAAGAAATCTGTCATGTTAATGATATGAAAGACTGGAAAGGGAAAAAAGAAGTCGCCATATTTTACTAAGAAGTACTTATTATTAAAAAATGTCGACATTATTGGGAATGGAATTTGAGTGCTTTCATGTATAAAAAGGGATCAAAAAGAGTCAACAGGTTCAAACAATAAATATTCTCCCTCCTGTCTCACACTCTAGGTAAAAACAAGTGCTGCCGAGCTCCCCAGCAGCCAAACAAAAGCAAAACAAGCAAACCTAGAAATGAAATAAAATGGTTAAATAACTCTCATTTTACTTAATAAAAAAGGGAATTTTCATTTTAAAGTAGCAATTTTTACCAATTAATCTTGAGAGGTTTTTGTTGAAGGTTTTTTTTTTTTTTTTATATTAAGAGCAATAAACAACATAATTACAATAAAATAAAGGACTAAAACATTTTACAAGTAATTATTTTGACAAAAACAGGTAAAAAAAGCATGTACTAGTGTGAAATGTTCTCTTCCAGCTCTTGGAAAGCTTGACTTCATTTCAAAAGAAGCCATTACACTGAGGTTTCACCTCCTGGGGCATATGTCACATATGTAAGAGGTGATAGGTACATTGCAGGAATATGGCCAGAAAAAGGATTCATTTTTTAAAAAATTATTTAATTAAAGTCTATGAATAAAACAAAGATTTGAATAAGTGTAAGTGGAAACAAAGAGCAAAATGTATCAGTGTTTATATGTAGCTACACAAATAAAAGCCTAAGCTGCTTCCTAGTATCCAGTGAATCCATAAGCTACATGAGGGCATGAGGCCTCTTACTGAGTGGATGAAACAGCGGCTAGCTCAGTCGATATATATATTTGATAAAAAATTAAACTGAAAATTATTCTTGAAAAATAAACAACTTTCAGAATGTGAAGCTGTATATTCCAAGCTACACGTCTATAACATCAAATATTTTCAAACTTTTCCAATTATCGAAGCAAATGGGAAGGAAAAAAAAAAACTGAGAAAAATCAATGTCTAAGGTGACTAATAATCAACTGAGGAAAATGGTAATGGTTAAGATTCCCAAGTTGTCAATATAGGGGCCAAAGGACAAGCTGAGCACTTTTTAAAAACTCTTCGTGATTTATCTCATATAGAAATGTAGGGAAATTGTTAAAAAAGAAAATCTTTACACTATGTTTTACCAAACTGAATCCAGGAGGCACACATGTCAGAGCGCAGATCACAGTATCACTAACAGGACAGAATGGAACTGTTAATGGCAGCAGATTCAGCATAACTGACTTTATTTTCTTTTTCCTGATAACTCTGACTAATGTAGCAGATGGTTTGTCTCTTCATTTTTATTTCTTCTCCTCACTTTAGAAATTTAAAACTATATTAATTTAGAAAGTATATTCATTTTCCATTGAAGACCAATAATTTGTGAGTAGCTACACTGATATTTCAGAAAAACTTGTCTAGTTATAACAATGCAATTTGTCAATATCTCACATTTTGAATATGACCCTAAGGCATATCAAGTAAAAATTTAAAAACCTATTATTTAAAAATATATATATTACAGTGGGAATCAGGAGACAGAGAGTCTAAACATTGTCCTCATTACCACTGGCCCAGTCACTTTGTTGTTCTGGTTCTCAGGGATGCTTTATGTAACATAAGGTTGTTGTTTGGATGGGACAATCTCTGTAGGACCATTTCTAAATCTCTGATTCCTTATTGCTCTTCCTATCTTTGTAATCCTCTGGGCATTAAAACAATCAGTGAACTAACTAACCCACTTAATTAAGACTCTGACCACCCAGGGGTTTTTAGGGAGGAAGAAGCTAATGATCACTAACATTTATTTGCTAGTAAGATCTTGGGAACATTTTTTGCTTTAAGTGAAAAGTCTTCTTTGGCTTTTCCTTCCTACCTGAAGGAAGAAGGAAAAGGTCCTGTCCTGAGGATGGTCGGCTACTAGAGCCCGGAGGTTTTGAATGTTCGGTGAGACTGTGCCTGGCTGGAGGTGGAGGTGGTGGGAGGGAAGGAGGGAGGGCATCAAAAGCATCTTCACCTGCATTTAAAGAAAGGTTGATATCAACAACAGAACTTCAGTAATGAAAATGTACAGTGTCAACGAAAAGTAATGATTGATTTTCTCTTGTTGCTTATGAAGAATTTCACTTGCAGCATTTATCCAGCAGTTCACCGACTTTGATAATGGGATCTAATTATTTTGTGGGAGTGTTTGGAGAGATATACACTCAAACATACAGACATACCCATACAAACTTTTCTATCTCCCAGGTCTTTCTGTAAAAAGCAGCATTGAAGGTTATGAAACAGTTCACAGTTCCCTTGTAACCTTTTTAACATTAGGATACTGGAAGTTTGAATAATTATTATTGGTCACAATATCAAAACAGAATTCTCTGTGTAACAAAAGGGTTCACAGCCTCTAATTAGAAAATCATACCATGCACATATTCTTTAATGTCACAGGATAATTTAATTATTCCATAAAGTTTATTCTGCAGGATTTTGGTTCATTTAAACTAACGTTCCATATATCTGATTTACTGTCAAAATATACAGAAAATGCACTATAGCACAGGAGTATGATATTTTTCTTCTTATCTGATAGCTCTAATGAAAAATAGTTAAATACAGAACTCCCCTTTGTGGTCCCAAAAGCTACTTAATCACATTTGCATATTTCCCAGCTTTAGTAACTGGAATATTACAGCGTGCTTTTATGTCTGCTTATTTATCCCTTGCCACACCTTATTATTCTACTCACATTTTCCTTTACCTTGTTTTTTTAAAAAAATAAAATGCAGCGCATGTATTTTTGTCAAGCTATCCCAAATACTTTGTGAATGAGACAGTGCACACCTATATATTCCAATTAAAAATTTATATGTACTTAAGTTGAGTAACTTAAACATAAAGGCATAAAGAAAAATGGTTTTATCATTCACTGAGCTTGCTTGCAAAAAATATGCAGAATATTTTCTCCTATCATCATAAACATTTTTCTAATTTAAAATATTGGAAGATACAGGAGAGAGCGCTTTGCTAAGATTCCAACCTATAGCTATCTGTTCAATTATCACATTTATCCCAATCCTTTTTCAGCCCCTAAATATTAGGCACCATGCTAGGGACATGGGTAATATGAAGATCATCAAAATCATAAGGCCCTTCATATCCTGGATATATTTTTCTTGTTTCATTGTGTTCTCTAATTGAGTCTTCTTTCATCTCCTTGAGTTTTCTTAAGATTGTTGCTCAGAATTCCCTTTCAGTCATTTCAGGGGTTTCTTACTCTATGGGATCTGGTACTTGAGAATTACTGTGTTCCTTTTGTGCTGTCATGGTTTCCTGTCTATTCATATTTCTAATATCTCGTTGATACATGGTCATCTGATAGAGCACGTGCTTCTTCTATTACTCTGGAGTGGACTTTGAGAAGAAAGACTTCCTCCTGTTTCTGCTGGTGACTTTCCTTGTATCAGTGCAGTGGACTGTGCTATGGCGGCCTGCCTTCTGGGTGGTCCATTCTGCTACTATGACAGTGTGCTGTTCTTGCAGTGGCAGCAGCTATGGCAGTGGCTGTGTGGGCTCACCTGCATGGTAGCATAAGCTCCTCTGGGGGTGTGTGGGGGGTTGGGGGGGAGGTGCTGCCCAGGTTGCAGGGTGCTCCCTCACCTTCTGTTCCCACTGGGGGAGCACTGCCTGGGGGCCTCCACGTGGGTCCTGGCTGAGGGTGCTCTCCTGCCTTCTGTTCCAGCAGGTGGAGGGTTGCCGGGGATCCTCCACCACCTGGATCTCTGGTCGCTGCTCTCCTGAGTTCTGTTCAGAAGGGGTTGGGGCTGCTCAGGGGCGTCTGCCCGGGTCCTGGGTCACTCTCTTGCCTTCTGTTCAGGCAGGAGGAGGGCTGCTTGGGGGCCTCTGTCTGGGTCTCTAGTCGCTTTCCTGCTTTCTGTTCAGGTGCGGGGAGGGCTGTCTGGGGGCCTCCACCTGGATCTCGGGTTGCAAGTGGCTCTCCTTTATTGTGAAGTCTTAAGGTATGTGAAGATTCTAATTGTCTTGTTCTAAAAATAGGGTGAGAAGCTTCCTACCTAGAATTAATGAAATTAATAGTGACATTGGCACTAGCCAACTTCAACATACATACATAGGTACCTGCATACACCTTTATAGGTGTACACACACAAACACACATAAATGTGTTTCTTCATATTATAATTTGAAACATTCTTTGAGAGTATTGTAGTTGTAATGATTAGAATATAACAGAATTTATTCTCAGTTCTCTACAAATATAAAATTTTCCATTATTTAGTTAGCATAAGTAGAACTGGGTCACTTCATGCTGAAAGAAGAATAAGTTCCCATTTATTAAGAATTATTATACATAAAGAAAATCTCAATATTTCAAATCATCACTTCATAACTACTAGAACACAAGGGCCTAGAGAAATGAACAGTGCTCTCATGTATTTTTAGACTGGATTATACATAAAGAAAATCTCAATATTTCAAATCATCACTTCATAACTACTAGAACACAAGGACCTAGAGAAATGAACAGTGCTCTCATGTATTTTTAGACTGCATTTAGTAAATTAGAGACAACTTGATAAAACCCTGATAGCCAGCTATTTACACCATTACTTTAATCATCTAAATGGAGTAATGGCCACAGGAACTTGGGAGCCACCTCACCTGGAGAACCTGTTCTAATTTTAGGCAAATTCATAACCCAGTGAGCTTGTGTTACATTGAACTCTAAATGCTGATAAGTCAGATATTGAGAGAAAAGCAGGTGTGGTTTGCTTAAAATTTTTTTAAAGGTTTCAACCTAATGGAGGGATGAGAAGATCATAATCAGAGGGCGTCCTGTTGAGTGAAGAACCATGCTTTGGATTGTCCCGAGTTGGAGGCCTGGCAGGTGGCAATGGCACTGGATCAGAGGCTGAATCAAAAACATCTCCTAGAGGATAACACAAAACCTTAATGTATTTTCAGTGTAACAACAGCATGAAATTTTGCCTTTAAATTCTGACCATTAAGATGTAGATCACAAAGGAGAATGTATTCTATACATACCCTTTAAATACATGCCTAACTCTGGGATGTTTGATTTCTTCATCTCTGAAGACATACCATGTGTTCCATTCAATATACAATGACCATTATCACAAGACCTAAAGCAGAGATCAAAGGACAAAAATAACATAAGGATAATTCATTTAAAAGGCATTTGGGGAATAGAAGGAACTAATGTCCCTGCTCATACAATAAAGTTTGAAAATAAATACAGTATATTTGTTTTCTGGCATACCAGTACCAATAATAATATCTAAAACTCTAACCCCTTATTTTAAAAAGCAGAAATAAATATCCCATGGAGAACAAATAGTTTCTCTCCTTTTTAACTGAAACCAAGAATTATAAGGGTCACAAAAATTGTTGATATTCTAAACACATCTGTGAAATTAACATACCTCTTTGGATGAGGTCAATAGTACCTGGTCAGGTTTTTAAAGTAAAAAAGGAATATACACCAAGGCAAAAAGTATATAATATTCCCAATGACTTCATTATTTGTTGATGGTATTTAATACCATATTTTCATTTCTGTAACTTAAGCTTTCCTTGTAAGTAAAAACAGAACTAGAACCCATAAAAGAAAGAAAATTATTAAACTTTCAGGAATTCTATTAAAATTCTGACAGGAATCTCAAATACCTAGAGCCTGTGGTACTATTTCACCACTTCCATGAACCAAACTCTGGCATTCTGGCACTACAGAAGAATGACTTTAGCGAAGGTCGTGGGTACATGACAAGTATTTTAATCTGTGTGTGTGTAAAGGGTAATCTTTACAAAAAAAAAAGTATGTTGTTGCTATTAATACCTTTGAATCATACTATGAACACAATGGATAAAATTAGGGCATGGGAAGGTAGCAGCAGGAAGAGAAGATACAGAGCATATTTTGCCTACAGCATATAGCTATAATCATCTAACAAAGAGCTATAGAAAGCACAGTCTACATTTTACTCTTCTCTGATTTACTCTGAATTCTTAGAGCAAAGTAAATGTACATACATAATGATGCAGATAGTGGATATTTGAATAGATATTGCAAGAGTGCTTCATCTGAAATTCATTTCTATTCTCTCTGGTGCCCACTTCTCTTTAAGGGGCTACAGATGGTTCATTTAAAAATAGTTATCATGTATTGAATCTTCATAATAAAGACGGGTTTTTTTTTTTTACTGAAATTGAATTGAATTATTCATTTTCTGTTTCACTTTTTCCACATACTGACAATTTACTTCTCATGATGTTCCAAAGAAGGGAAAAACACATATGGAAAGGAAGTATTAAACTTAAAGAGTGCTTTAGAGAGGACATAAGAAGACACTTCATCCATTAGCTTTCGAGAACAAATTAGATAAAGAATTCACTCCAATTAAGTTTAGGGATTAGCAACATTTATTACTTCTCTTTATAACAGTGGAAAGATGGTAATGATGGTTGTAATTCAAATTTATTTTCAAGATTTGGGAGGCCTGCCACCAAAAATCTCATCCAATATGATATGACAATTAAAATTTAATATATTAAAATTATACCCTTCACTTCTTCAGCAATGAAAAAAATGAGAGTCCCAAAGAGACCAAAAAGACTCATCCTACTTCAGTTTTTAAAAATTATTACACATTTGTAAGAGCCAAAGAAACCCTGAAAACTGTAATGATTTATATTTCATGAGAAGGAATAACTTTTTTCTCTAATAGATTGCAGATACTTGGTTCTTCTGATATAACAAATTGCTTTCCAGTTATTTCTTTGTCTTCTCAATGCTGATATTACTTTATCAACAGATGCCTTAAACACCAGGAATTAGCAAGAACTGCTTTGATTTTTGATTTGCAAGATGAAGCCCTGAACTGTAGAGTGTTAATGATCCTGGTTAATAATTCTGTGGAGTGTTGATAATTCTGACCAGGATCACTTATTAAGACAGACCTCTGGTTAAAATGAAGATTTGATTCTCTTGTCCAAGTACTGCATTTTCTACCTCGGCAAGATTTTTGAGAAAGGTATTAAGACAATTTTCAGTTTTTTCATCTGAAAAGACAAGGACACTCTACTCATAAAATACTTTCAGTTGATTGACTTGACCTTGAAAGGAAATGGCACGCTGTGTAAAGATAACCCAGATGACAGAAATGTTCAATGGCTCTCCTAACCCTCAGTCAGTCAATCAAGGAAAGCAGGGCCACCAGCCATAGTTGAGCCCTACTCTATGTGCCAAGCACAGCTCCCGGAATGCTATACAAAGGAAACTGGAGCTCAGAAAGTAAGTGTTGAAACTGAGATTTGATTAATGAATACCTCATATATGTCAGTCAGGTAAAAAAAATAAGCAGAAATATTATTAGACTACAGTTTACTAATTCAATGATATAATGCAGAATCATGCTCTTACTTAAAGACAAACTAATATTTCAGTACATATCATGCATTATTAATAATGCTGATATACCTCAATGCAGCTGCTACTAGAAAGACCAAAGATATCCCTATTACAGTGAGAATAAACAAATAACAGAAAGAAAACAACAACAAAACCACTATTCCTCATATTCTTATTTGATCCAAGGAAATGTAAAATAGTACATGTAAAAAACAGTTAATGGAAATAACTTCAGTATTTTTTTAAACTTCTTCAAAATCTGAATAGAAGTAGGTAGCACATTGAGAAGAGAAATGAATATAAACTATACTAGTATTCACATCATGAAGAAAAACTCTAAGGAAGGTTAGCATAATACCTTTGATTCTAGGCACTAATTTTTCTTCATAAGATATGTGCTTGGGACAGATAAAATACATTAGAATATATTTTGAAAAAACATGAATTAGTCAGCACTATATATAACGTATAGCAAAATTTTATTAGGATATAATTTGTTTCTTGGGGGACGAGGGAGCAACAAAATATTCCATCAAGTTTACTAGCCAACTAACTTAAATGACTTCCTGAACAACAGGAAATTTGCATCTTTTAGTTTTCTCTGAAAGTAATGCAGAGAATTGTATATTAGGAAGAGAAGATTTTAAGTAGAAATCATGGATTTCTAATCTAATAGATTCAACTGCCTAAAATCAAACACCACAAATGATAATGCTGATGCAGATGTAAGGCGGTAAAAAGCTTCCCATTTTCTTACCGAACAGGTTTTACGTTATGACAATGAGATGGCTGTGAATTCAGGGACACAGGATGGGATGAAGGAACCTTGTATTCATCATCATCTTCCTCTACTGTGTCTCCTGTTTTCTCGGGAAGAGAATTTGCTAACGGACCAGTACACCTACCAGGGGGAAAAAAATCCAATCTAGTTTAAGCATAATATGAGGAACAGGAAAGTCCGATGTGACATATTCAAATCAAAGAAGCTCATTGTCACTTAACATTCATTTTTCAATTATATTGTAACATCAGAGGAGCTGTTCTTATACTAAATACAAATGAAAAGGATTTTCCATCTTTTGTTAAGACATTCTCAATGGGATAAGAAAAATTTCATACTTATAATTTTATATAGTACAATAAGAAAAACTAGTAATCTGTCAAATAAAATAAAAAGGTCTTAAGAGTTGTAAGAAAAATGTGTAAAACTATTTGAACCAAAGCTATTAAATATTAACATTTTGTTCCAATTTAATTTAAATGAGTAAAGTAGGATAAAAATATATGTGTGGTAGTTTTATATATTAATGAAGTCTTTACAGGGTCAAACTTTTTGTCTTGTGAATATTATCTGTAGTTGAAAAAAAACTCAGCTTAATTCAATGAAACTTAACCCTCCTGTGAAAATGCAATTCGAGTTGTTAGACTGTTTTTTCCCCAACAAAGACTAAGAGTTAAAAATGAATGAAATAATTAGAAGCAGATAATAAGAGAACTTATTGTTAAGTCTTTGAAGTGGAGTACATTATTTTTAGGGCTTAAATTCCCCAACTAAATAAAAGAGAATTAAAATAAATAAAATAATCAACTAACATCAAAGAAAATTTCAAGCATTTTATTTATCCATGAGGGTAAATAAAACAAACCCAAACAAACAAGCGAACAAAACCTACAAAAACTACTGTTTTCACAATTGTTTCTATTGGAGTTTAATCTCACCCTTGCTGATACCACTGAAAAATGCTGAAGTAGAAATACACAAAAACAACCCGATCAACTTTAGGACAACCAACTAGTTTGCAAGACACTGGAGATACACACAGATACAAATATTTTTGTTAATTATTGTGAACCTCATGAGAAATCTGTTTCATTAAAAAAAAAAAAAAAAAAAATCTAAATGACTGCACTTTTGAAGCACCTTCTGTAGAGGGAGCAAGAGGCCTTTGGTATATGGAGCCATCGAGCCTGAAATAACTTTTTCATTTTGATTTCTTCTTACTAGTTAGAGTGAAAACAATTCTAGGGGCTTTTCTTTGTGTCCAATACTAGAAAACATTATAAAAAACCTAAAGGTTTTCAAGTTTCAACCATATATCTAAGTCTCTAGGAAGTTCTGAGATCAAACAAAAATCTCTCAAGATTTTTTAAAAGTATATTTTTACCCATCTTTGAAGAATTCCTCAATACTGATCTTTGAATTCTTGTTTGAGTGATGTTAGAACTCGAATGACAGTTTATGGTGAGATAAAAGTACAGTGATGTGGTGACAGAATGTACGATGTCACTGTTCAGAGCACAAGCTTATAAACTTACTAATAAACTAAGGGTTACATCTGCTATCCTTTACTTTCCAGTTGAAGGCAGATAAGTATATGAACTGCAAAATGACATTAGAGCAGGAATTTAAAACATTACTTTTCCATAAATTCTTATAAACAAAGACATCAACTCAAGGATTTAGCTAACTCAAGGATCAGAATGGGCTCTATGAATAAATGAAGTAAGAACTATATACATACTTTCTAAGCCCCAATATATTTTCATTCATAATAAATCCTGACATTAGAGCAGGAATTTAAAACATTACTTTTCCATAAATTCTTATAAACAAAGACATCAATTTAGCTAACTCAAGGATCAGAATGGGTTCTATGAATAAATGAAGTAAGAACTATATACATACTTTCTAAGCCCCAATATATTTTCATTCATAATAAATCCTTTTTCCTATGCAATTCAAGCATGTACCGTATAAAAGAAAAAGACAATTTTTGAGCAAAATTCAACAACCACATCAATATCAGGAATGCTCTAATACCTTTCTGTTATAGGTTACTTCCAAAAATTTAAGACTTTCCAAAGAAGCACTTCATTATGAGTCGAGAATGGACAATTTTTGAAATCACACTTGTGGCTAATTCTATATTCCATTCTTCAATGATAGAGAATTTCTCTGGATAATTCTCCCCCTCCAATCCCACTCTTTTGCTATGCTGCAAATCAACAGACTGAGCATCTAATATTTTATGGACTAATAAGGGCTTATTGCTAAAACTTACAAGTTACGGATTGTTAGCTTAAATAAATTTTAATGAATTATATCTAGAAGTCACAAAGCCTTCAAATGTTGTTTGTATCTAAATATAAAAATAATACTTAACTGTTCCATGTTAATAAAGTTCTAAAAACTAGGTTTAAATTTTATGTTTGGAATATAAACTTCTTATGACAGTATAATATCCTACTTAGAATAAAAATATGTTAATTTATAAGAATATGATTCCAGTGTGTTTTATTCAATATCATATAAATTTTTATAAACCAATTCTGAAAGAAAACATAAAAGAAGTTATTGTAACAAAAAAATAATAAAAGAGGAAGGTACAAATAATATAAAGAAGTTGTACATAAAATACCAAAAAAATCTAAATTTATGTAAATAATTACACTATTTGTAATTATATGTGGGATTTTTTTCATCTACAAATTCATTCAAAAAAAACGGGTTCAATTTTACTTGCTACTAAATGAGTGGTAATATAATTAGATTTAGAATTAGTCATTATCTTTTCATGTATATGTTACTCTGAGCAGAAGAGAAAATTTCTAACTTATGGGGCATGGGACAAGTTTTAGACATTGATATGACTCATGAGAAATTTTTAGGATATCAGAGTAATAATGTAGAACAAATTATATTTGGCTGGTTCCAAGTTAAAGCTGCCAAGTAAACTATTCTATCATTTACACCCATTACCCAATACTTCATTCCCTTTTATTATCATCATGCATTCATAGTGTTCTGCACTGTACCTGTCATTCCTGAGTTAATACACTGGTAATGCACAGGGACACACACTTTCAAAGATGCACAGCCACCCTCCCCGCAACCTGCACATCTTGTTAAATTCACTGTGCATCAGTTATTTGAGCCTTCAGTAAGATATACATTCATTTTCTACATGTGCATGCTTGAAACAAACCAAGAAATAGGTGAATTTTCAGGCTAGCAAAGGAGAATATTTTCTAATGCTGTACTTAATTAATGACTTTTAAATTTGAAACAAAGTTCACAAATGCATTCCTCTAGAGCATTCTATATCCCTGGTGTGACAGGCATATAATCAGAAGGGTGACCTTCTGCATATCTCATTAGCTTTAACACTTAACAACTTATACCTCAAACACCACTCTTGCCAAACACTTTTTCTTCCCTTCATTTTGAGCAATTTTACACCACAATCATTCCATCAACTTTTGCAGAAAAAAAGCAATGTAGAAACAACCATCTTTACTGTCTATACCAGAAACTCCTATGACATTGCCCCACAAATTCAATACTTTTTTTTGAAGTATAAATACTTTTTTCTATTCTGTGTATTTAGTACGTTTATTCACTGATACCATGTTTACTATAGATTGATCACATAGATCAGTCTTGAAATGTAAAATGTTTAAGGATAGACCTTGAGGTTTCCAAAGCCTGACATGGTATGTGTGTAGTTGAGCACCTACAAGCTTTTAGACAAAAACAATGAGTGGTTATTAGAGAAATAAATGACCAAGCTGGTGAGGGACAGAGATCAGTCATTTGCAGGATTCTTTCATAATCTAGAAAAGCATTTTAAGTGTGATATATCATTTTGCTTTTTTTCTATGTATCTCTCCTTATTTAGTAATATCTGAAGGCAAGGTTATAAAAATATCTTTTATTAAAACATAGTCTTCTGGGCTGGCCCGGTGGCGCACTGCTACAGTGCGCCGCTTGGGAGTGCGGCGGCGCTCCCGCCGAGCACTGGCTGAGCAAGGTGCAGGCGCAACACCGAGGGTTGCGATCCCGTTGCCGGTCCCGGTCCAGTACGGGCGCGACACTGAGGGTTGCGATCCATTGCCGGTCACGAAAAAAGACAAAAAGGAAAAAAAAAACACATAGTCTTCCTAGCTTGCCATACACATTATTCCAGGGTTGCGATCCATTGCCAGTCACGAAAAAAGACAAAAAGGAAAAAAAAAAAAAAACATAGTCTTCCTAGCTTGCCATACACATTATTCCATATTTCTTCTGTTACACTATCCCAATTCTAACAGGGAAAATGCTTGAGAGAAATTATAGCCCAGAGAAGAGGTAAAACAAAATATAGCTATATTTAAAATGATTATTGCACCCTTGCTACATAAAAATCATTTTCTTAGATTATTAGAGTTTTATAATATACATGCTAATTTTGAAGGTTCTTTAATGACCTCAAGAAAAGTCAGTGTTGTATATACTATTAAGTTTTAAGATAAGTTTAATTATAAGCATCTTTCACTGACTTGTTTTTAATTTGGAGAAAGATTTGAAGTTGCTTTACATTTGTGTTCTGTCTAGCTTTCACGTTCTTCACATACATAACCTCATGGCTTGCTCCCTTCCTTTCAGGTTTCTGTTCAAATATTACTCTTTCAGAGAGATCTTTAATAAGGATCTTTTATCCCCTTCATTATTTATCCCCTTCACACTTACTTTTCCTCCTAGCACTTACCAATACCACTAGCTGACACTATACACTATAGTCACTTGTTTACTTTCTCTTCTTCCTAATTAGAGCATAAATCCCAAACAGGACAAAGATTTCAATTAGTGCACACTGAATCTTCTGTCAATATAGCAACTGAATGAAAACAGTTGGGCAAAATTTGGATTCTCTATTTATTGTACCTAAAACATTAGCACCTTATCTGTTTAGAAAAACGTATAACAATAATCAACAATACTACTTCCAACAACAAAAATTCTTTTTTTTTTCTTTAACAAAAATATGAATCAAGTAATATTGGTTCACAGGTATTTGAAAGCCTAGAATTAATATGTCAAAAGTACAAAATACCCATTTCTAAAACACAGGGCAAAATAAAAACATTCTTCTCAAAAATAACATTCCTTAGCATTCCAGAACATTTATTACCCAGAAGTAATTACTTCATTATTACTTGTAAAAATGTCTCTGTTTATTTGCCAACGTATTTCGTCAAGTAAAAATAAATATTTTCTAACTTTTTAAAGTTTCATTTTCTTTAATTTTGAAAAATCAAATTATTTCAAGACAAACATAATTCAGTAAATAAACTACGAAGTAAAAATAATCCACATAAGATTTTTTATTTTCCCTCTAAAAAATAATTACCCATGTTTCAAGCATTTACTTAAAATTTTATATTTATAGCTTAGTGTCAATGATGTTAATTAAATTGAAACCATTTAGAAAAAATATTGTTTTAGAAAAATTAAGTTTATCTAAACAAACAATTATAGTTTAAGCTTACTTTTAAAACAGTACATATTTTTAGAAATAAATTCTGTATTCTTCTAGGTCTTAAGATAAATTACACGATAAAAATCACATAATTGCAAAGACACAGTTTAGCAAGAAAAGAAACGCTACTAATAAGTAGCCTCTAACACCAAATAGATGAGGATCAGAGTAACAATATCAAACATTTAACAATTACAATTCAATAAAGATTCATAACCACATAATATAGATTTAAAGGTAAATGATAGCTTTGCAATTCTCGGACACTGGGGCATTCAACATTGTGAGAACTGCAAAAGTTCATGTTTAGGTAGCAATTTTTAATTTTGTTTTGGCCTAATTTTGAAACATGCACTTAGAGTCTAAGATGGAAATGGGTACTTAAATGTTCAACATCCCTATTTCAGTGAGTGATATTTTGCTAAGACCTCTGTTCTATGACTCTTTAGAGCCAAGTCTACACTCACTGTACTCTGGCTATACACTCTAATGTGGCCAAAGCAGACGAATAATAATAATAGTAGTAGAATAAACCATGGCAATAATCCAATTTATGTAGTTTCAGCAATGGGATGTGACCAACTGACTGTAAATGAACATTCAGGTTGCCAAAATTTCATACATAATTAACACTGTAAGATAAGTAACCCTTAAAAAAACATATTGCATAAATCTTAAAAAGTTGAAGATCACAAAAGAATTTTAGAGATCATTTTAGTTAAATTGATCCTGTCATTTATCTGACAGAGAAAGTGAGGCCCAGAGAAGTTACCTTGCTCAAAATAAGACAAATACTTAAGTGCTGGAATCAGATCTGGAACCCAGTCTGATTTTATCATACCAGTCACTTCAGAATTCCATGCTGGTTTCATAATAAACACAGTACATAAATAATTAAGAAAAATGCTTATGATAATATTAAGTAACAAAGGAGGGCATGAAATTATCTCCACAATATTATCTAAGTGACGTTAAAAAAAAAGTCTAAATAAAAAAAAAATCAAAATTTTAAAACTCTGGACTTTGATTTTTAGGGTTATGCGTATGCCTACATTTATGCACTTGTTTTATTTTTCTTTCTTTTATTACTTTGCATACTTTCTACAATGCACTACTGATGCTTATAGAGTCAGAAAAAAAAAAAAATAAGCTGGAGAGATAAATGTGCCATTCAAAGGAAACACCTGTATTGTTAACTATGGCTAACTTGCAGCATGCAAAGTAGAAAACTATCTGCTGTTAAACATGCACTGTTGAAATATGTCTCTAGTTAAGTAAAACAACTGCACTCTTTCTAAGGAAAAAATCAAGGGTAAATGGAAGAAAGTATAACCACATGGTGAAGTTCACATGCACTTACAAATTGAAATATAAGAAAAATATGAATAAAACATATTTTACTATGGATTTTTCATTCTTGCTTTATTTATGGGAGAAGTAGGTCCTTAATATTAAATACAAATGAAGCAAACGGCAACCTCTGCCTCTCATCCCATTTGCCAATATGAATTTAATAAACAGAATGTGAAAATTTAGTCTCTCATTAGCAAGATTTCATTTACTTCATTTTCTCATGTTCTCTGAATTATCAGAGGAAATTGAGCTTATTAGATGTTTTATTACATATACACATATCCAGAGTTCACTTGGGGCTGGAATATCATCACATGTTCTCACTGATTTAGAGCCTAATACACAGAATATGTGTAACTGCTTCCAACTCCTATGTCTGCTAAAAGAAAAATTCCCACTGGAGAATCGTCCAATTAGCTGAGTTTCCCACTATCCCATAAGCGATGACAAATTTTACTATCTTACTTTTCTCACACACTGTCTTTTTCAATCGTGCCCATCCTCTGTGACTCAGGAAATTTCCACTCTCTCTATGAAACATTCTTGACTTACAAAGTCTATAACAGACTCTTCTTCAAACTCATAAAAGTAACAAGTTAGCATTAGTGACTTCACATATGTTAACTTTATTTTCTAAAGTACACTGTAAATTTCTTGGGGGCTGGGATCTAGCTTATCCAATCTTTTGCATTCACATGCATAGCGGGAGTCAGTGACCTGCAGAGGAAGGAATGAAGAAGTTCTAATACTTTCAATTGAAATGAGGACCTTAGCAGATAAAATGAAAATCACTTAACTAAGCAACCAAGTAATTTCCATGTACTTATTATTCATCAAATACAGTAAGGTGTTATGGGAGAATCAGGGAACACAGACAATGTTTCCAGGCTCAAAACCTTATAATTTTTTAATGTCAAGAGCCACACTTAAGTTAGAAAACAGTATAGCAGAGTACATAACTAAATGTGTAGAAAATAAGTCGCAGGAAGAGAAATGTGCATTATGACTGAAGAAGTCACAGAAGTTTTCATAAAGAAATAGAGCCTGAGACATGAAACTTTAGGATAAAGGTTCTGAAATGGTTAAAGAAAGGAGAGAACAGCATAAAAAACTCAAAAGCTGGAGAAAAATATCCAGACATGATTCCAACGCAAGCATTAGAAATCACCAAAAAATATTTCAGTTGGGTAAAATTCCATAGGATCTTATTGCTAGCAGAAGAGTTTAGAGTTAAATAATAGTATAGAGGAGACAATATCGGTTTTTGAGTGAGAAAGTGATCCAGAGAAGGTAGAATTTAAATTAAATGAACTCAGCTGCAATGTACATAATATATTAAAAGAAAGGCAGGCAGCCTGACTTCATATAAAGAGTAGAAAAATGAAATTTGGGATACTTGGCTTTATCCTGGTTTAACTTGGGTAGATATTACTTAATGTCCTGTGTGCCTCTGTGTCCCCAAATAAAAGATACCCAGGTTAACTCATTTTTTTAGCTTTAATTCCAGTGATACTAATTCTGTGATCACATTGGATAATCAGAAAAAATTGTCTAGCTATGAGGCAAAGCTAGAGCAATAGGGAAGATTAGCTGAATATGAAAAACTCCAAAAGAGCAATTAACAGGACTTAGTGGCTGTATGGATTTGAGAAATAGAAAAATTAAAGGAACCAAAGATTATTTTCTAATGTCAAACTCAGAAAATAAGTTGGGATAAAATGTGATATTTCCGAGGAAGAGAGGTGCATTCACTTCTTGGATGTAGGGAATACTTAGCTTTCTCTCCCTGTTGCTCTACGTGTAATTTCCAGAATTTAGATAAATCTTATAGAAACTGGTTACCAGCAAGAATCGGGAAGGATCTTGATTTCTGGTACTTTAGTTTATAAGTCCAGCTGAATTGCTTTTTATTGAGGTCCTTCTATTCACTCTGTAGTTTCTGTACTGTGAACCTCAAAACCACTATGCACCATATCTGTATACATGGAAAAATTATCTCCAAACTCAATACAACTCACTTTATGCTAGGGAGGAGGGTAGCAACCGGAGGAGGAGGAGAAAGCCGGGGAGGAACATCATATTCTTCACTTCCAAGGTGACCATTGGAAAAGACCTGAAAGTAAACCAAACGGTTAGTTTCCAAGAATTTAACTTCTGGAAGACCTTAAAACAATAGTAGCTCTTAGAAAACCTACAATTTTGAATAGAATACATAATTTCAGTTTATTTAAACAAGTGAAATATCACACAGTTTATTTAGGAGTCAGTTGCACCACGATGGTGATTCACCACCACCAAAAGTGGTACCAGGTTATATGAAAAAGATTCAACTAGATTCTTACACATAATTGAGAGGTTACATTATAACCTCTCAATTATAAGAGGTTACATTATAACCTTACATTATAAGTCAGATATAGATATCTAGATAAATAGTAGAATTTCCCAAATATGATGAGCCTTTTTTTGAAAAGACATTACCTATAAGTATTCGGTAAAGAAAAGAGCAGTACTGATACAATTCTTATTTCAATTTCTTCCAAATAAAAGTGTTCTAAATTATATCTCTCTAGGGTTAATAGACATTCTTAAATTTCCTGATAATCAGATAATCAGAAGTGCCTTTCAAGAGTGAAGCTTCAGCACTAATGATAAGTAGAGACTTGTCCTGGCTTTCAAAGTGCAGATGAATTTAAACATAATTTTCAGTTTATGAACACAGCAAACCATAATTGTTAATTTGCTCATAAGGTACCAGAGAGAGCCGGTGTTTTGTTACTCAGAATTAGGAAATTCTGATTTCCAGATTTCTCCGTCACACGACAGGAATGATCTGAACAATTGCTCTTTGCTTTTCCAACAATTTTGAAATTACAGCAACTTAAAGGGGGGGGGAATGAGAGGAAAACTTTGCGAAGACATATTCACATGTAAAGAATAAGCATATTTTAAGACCTAGTCTATAATCCAGTAAGTAATCACTAGACTTTTATCATGAAGCTCTTCTGCAAACTCTTACTAATTCATATTTAAAAGGTGGACTAATGCTAGGGCAAAATGGATATAAAAGTAACTTGAATAGTCGTAGATAATTCAATTAAGAAACTACTAATTACTTTTTTCCCACCCCTCATATTTCTCAAATGTTGCTGAAACTTTAAAATGCAGAACTGAAAAGTCCATACTTACCTATTGACTTAAAATAAGTAAAGAAACAAGTTTAAAGAACCATTTGAAGTAGATCAATGTTTGCATTTCAAAGCTACAAGATCTAATTTTATAGCATTAAAGTTTCACTCTAAAAACTAGGTCCCATGCTTTAGTTCCAATTTCTCTTTTTCATGTCTCACCTCATTAGAGTCAATATATCATAGTTACATCACGACAAACTGCATCTTTAAATGAAATGATCTGATCATACGTTTTTGACTATGAGCCAAATAACAGAACAAGGCTAAGTTTTTAAACTTTTCTAGAGAAAAGAAATTTACTAATAGAGAAGTCTTCAAAAAGTTCATGGAAAGATTTATATTATCATTTAATTCTACCTTTCCATGAACATTTTTAAGTGCCTTTGTAGACATTAATCATTGCAAAGTTTAATGAAATCCTTTAACATTAAAAAAATGCCTTTTAACCAACAAATACATGTATCAAACCACAAATGCTCATTGTGAAAATGAGTATTTGAAGTCATTCTTAATTGGAGTTCATTGCACGCTGCTGGAATACGTACCATGTAAGAATTCTGTAATCAAATCTTAAAGTTTCTGTCCCAAATGCACTTAAGATTCATTCTGGAAAAATGTAATGTGTATTTCATATGCAATAATAAAATTTTATTAAGTATCTATATATGTTAGATATTTCATTGATACTTAAAAAAATTTCAGCAATAATAAAGTAAAAGAGATGGGAATAATAGTTTCATTTGTACTGGTTCTACTTGAAGAATAATCTAACCCATAATTTTGTAATTAGAACAATGTGAACATATCTGAAAAAGAGTACTGATATACTCAAAGATTTATTTATATTGAAAATCAGGTAAATGACAGAATAACTATATTAACAACGGCTTGAACAACATTTTTACAGACTACCATTAAATTTCATTAAGACAAGTCACATAGGCAATGATGTCTATCATTGGTAAAACCACAGTTAATGAGGTAACTCATTCTCTAGGACAGCAATAAACTAAGAAACTTAAGTGATTTTGTGAAACCATCAATTAATATGTTTTATAACGCAAACAGCACTTTCTCTGTTTTAGAAACACTGTCATTGATACATAGTAACTAAAAGATATCCCCTACCTCTGAAATGCCATAGTGTCTATTCTTAACCATTCATTTGGAGCTTGGCATCTGCTGATGTTTTGCTTATATTTTATGTAGTTATGTTCCGTGGAGGAGAATTCATGCCACATTAAGTCTCTTTCAGGACAAAGCCTCTTTTATTTCTTTGTCATTTTATAGCACATTGCTCCAGGTGCTTTAACACAGTAGGGCTTAAATGAATATTGAATGCTGACTGGCTTAGATGACCTTATTAATGGAGGCATTAACCAATGAAATGACTTTCCTTTGCTACAGCTGGAAGAAACTCATTAGTTTACTGAAACTCTCTCAGCAAATATATGCAGTTTATTTAATGGCTGATCTTCCTGTAAACTGTTCTAAAATATGTACTGAGAGTATGCCTAATAAAAAACACGGAATTCTTTATAGTTCTTTCCTAATTAACAGACTGAGATTACACAAATGTGCAAACAGCAAGGGACCTAAATGTGCAGGTACTAAAGTGATGTTCATATTTCTGTTCATGTAAAGTGATGTTTATATTTCTTGATGGTTATTGGAGAAAAAGATTTAACATTGTCATTTTGAAATCCATGTTCCCACCTGCACCCATTTCATGAGGGCAGAAATCATTTTACCTGCCACTAACTTACGGAGTGCAATAAACCACAACTTTTTGAGCTAAAAATAATTATTTTATGTTCTTTAGAAATCTGAAAAACCTGTTTGAAAATGGTAGAAAACAACAGTTCCTCTAACGTACAGACTGACAGTGGCAACTGAAGGAGTTCAAGGCTGAAACCTCACTGACTCCCAAAGGAAACATCTTTTTGTCCTCTGCCTTCCTAGATCACTGTCTCAAATCCATCAGCAATTGCACTGAAAATGCTACCAACTTAAATCTTCTAAATTCATAATTCTGATCCTATCATTCCTCTGCCAAAACAACTTTAAAAGCTCTTTCATTCCTACCAAATTAAGATAACACTGGTTTCAACCGGCATTGCTATAGTCTAACCTCACTTGCCTGCTCTCTCTATATGCCCTATTCTCCAGCCAAAATTGACTCGGTATCACTCACTATACAAATTTTCCTACCTTCATGCTATTCCTTCCTGTCATGCCTGCAAAAACAACTGGTACCAATCTTCAATGTCTTATAGCCAGTGATCCTCTTGCATTAAGCTTTCTTTCTTTATTTCTTTTTTTATTCTGCATCTCAGAATTTTTTTTCTTCTTGGGAATCGCACATATTTTCTAGATGCTTCTCAAATCCCTTTATCTGTAACTTAATCACATACCTGTCTCATCCTCACTAGGCTGTACTTTACTTATCTTTACATTCCACACAATGCCCTGAACATCCAAAGTACACATACAGCTGAATCAGGTTGAGAGAATAAGAATACAATAATGGAAGTTTATATTTGTGGAAGAAGTATAATCTGGATTGTATAATTCACTATAAATTTAGGTTATCCTAGATTAATATTTTTCTATATGCCTCAAGGTAGCATCTAAACCTAACTTTGGAGTTTGAAATGTTTTCTCATGATACAGATATTGTCTAAAAACTGAAGGTTAAAACATTTGGGACACCTGAGATACAAAATACCAAAACAAGTACTTTTGTGAAAATCTTAGTGCAATTAAGAATTTTTTTTTTTTTACAAAACCCTAAACACAAACTGTTTCCCCATCCTACAGATATAAATCCCTACAGACATGACTCCAAAAGTATCCCTGTATTTTGTCCAGTGTACACTTATTTTCTGAAAGACAACCCTTGAAATTGATAGATAAGTTTAAGGGCATTCATAAACATGTGCCTCTCCACCAAAAGTGCAAAAAGCCACAATATTGAAAAGGACCACTAGATGTATTTATCGGGCAATATCTTCAAAAGATTATTATAGATAGGATCATCCTTGGAACAATGTCACTGTAAGTAACATGACAAGTTAAAGATAGTTTTTATCACGTAACAAACAGCAGTAGTTTTTAATCTCGCAAGGGGAAGAAATAATGATAGCTGGCCACAATATTAATACCTAGAAATAAGTAGATAAATTTCAAGTTTCTAATCATATTTTAAAATACTTTAGTGCAAATATTTTCATCTCAGGTAATTAAAACAAACAAAGCACCACCAACAATAAATAACTATGTAGCCAACAAGATATTTATTCAGAAACAGGTTGATAACACAGCAAGACTCAGAATTTCCAAGAACAGAAACAGTGCTATAGCAAAGTAATGTTTTACCAATAAAACAAGATAAATAAACTAGTAACTCTTAGCTTGCAGATTCATATTAAAAGTAAAGATTACCTTAGCGAGCACTTGACTATGCTAGGTGGGAGGAGGAAAGATAAGGGAGCAAATGAGTGTCACAGAAAATTCTTACACCTCATTTTAACTACAAATTAAAGAGTTTTTTCCTCAGGGTTCTCTACAATTAGCAAATGGAGTAATTAGAATTTAATTCATTCTTGCTTCCCTTATTATTTTTCTAGTGAAGATGCAAATAAAAAAGACAAATGATTCCAATGGATGCTGGGAATGACACACTGACAGAGGACAACCAACTGTTTCCAGGGTATTTAGTTTGTAAATTGCCCTTGGGCGTTCCATATGTACACTTACTCTTTGTTGATCTTTTAGTACTTATCTGAATTTTGTTATCTCTAAAATGGGATGATATTTCATTTGAAGCTTCACCTCTAATGAAAACAACTAAACCTAAGTGGCAATTGTTACTATTTGACAAAAAAAGGTGTATTCGCTTACATTTAGAGGGACTGATAACATTACGTGAAGATAACAATTCAGTCTCCAAATAGCTAAACCTCCACACCCCTTGTTCCCATGATAATATAATAAACAAACAACAAAACGTCACACTAGGTACCAAGGGTGAGAAAACATTGTTAACATTTACCATTTTCATGAAAAATATTAGTCTTTTTAAAAAAATCAAAATTATCTCCCCTTCCTCTTCATCCCCTCTGCTTTTCTTATTGTGTGTGATTGACCTGTGCCAAACTAATACTCTTCTAAAGAGAAACACAAATTCTCTTTTAAACAAGCAAATTATGTTCTACCCTTGGCTGAATGCCAGTGCTGGCGAGATACAGAAAATCCCATCTGTGCGTACTCCTTGCGTATTTGCGTATCATGGACATCCTCTTCCTCTAACCTGCTGTCCCTGCCCTACTGCCGCCGTTCAACCCTCAACCCCAGCACACGTACACTCTTTCACATTTATCACTGGCTTAAGTATTGTGATAATGGCAACAACATTACTGAGTGCTTACCAAATATATATTACCAACTATGCTAAATAAAAAGGGAAAGGGTGGAAAGGAGATGATTTAGGTTTTAAAAAAACACAACTATTTTGAAAGAAAATGCTGACTGTTATAACTTGTTTTGATACTCCATGTCCAGCTGTTATTTTTGCTTTCATTTCTGAACTGTCAGTTTGGGGATTTAGAAAGCTGAGGCTAACTATTCTCCTAAATAACAGGTACTATCATTCCATTTTATAAAGTAAGGAAAGTAAGTGGGGTTGATGGCAAAGATGAAGTAAGTTGCTCACATCCACAAAGCCAGTAAATTCTAGAGCAGCAAGTGAAATCCAGGTCTGATTCCACAGCCTGGTAACAAACTGCAACCCAGGATCACAGAAACTGAGAACTACAAGATCGTAGATGGACTCAGTCTCATGGCAGTTGTTACTTGAAGCCAGCCTCTTAAGTCTCCCAACAATAAAAATGAGAAGAGGAATTATGCCATTTCCACTTATGTAAGGTGTGATATTCCCTGAGGTCTACTGAACGGGAACCATTTTTCCTTAATAAAAGAGGAGTCATGGTCTGTTTTACAGTTTTACGGCACTTAATGCACTAACCATATGAGTCAAACAACTAGGTTGAAATTGGAAATCTTACATGTCTAATTTTGGTTGAAACATCAGTTCTAGTTATAACAAGATTAACTTTGAAGATATAAGCATTGCAATATTAATACACATAATATATGAGATTAGACCTTAAAGAATCTGAGTGAGGTTTATTTAAATAGAACTTAGCAAGATTAAAAGCCAGCTTTCGGTAAGAGATAAAATTTGCAATTCACTTAGTGTTCTCTGCTGTACTGATCTGTATCAATTATCAGAAAATGAAAGTTCACATAGAAACATTTAAAGGAATCTTCATAACTGAACTCAATATTAGTATTTCATACCTATAGTTAATATAATAAAAATAAAATTTTATTCTTATAACCTAGGAAATTGTCACCCCAATTCTTTAAACTGTAACATCTCATAAAAAAACTAACAGCTAGTGCTCTAAGACTTAGGACAGGTTTATATTAGCACTAAAACTAAGTAACATATTATCTTTAAAAACCCTGAAACAAAAGGTCTTCAATGAACTGGCTATGATAATTATTAGGTATTTCTTAAATCCATTCAGAAATAAATTGTAACACACTGTTGAGATATAACCAGTCAACTCACATTACAGCTTATTCCACCACTATTCTCAAGATAAATGTGATCACATATAAATGAAAAGTAATAGAGGATAAAGGGAAAGAAAATCACTAAAATGAAAAAAAAAAAAAAAAAAGGAGCAGGTTCCTGCAATCAGGATTCTAGCTTGTGGAAAAATTATTTTGATGATAAACTCTATATTTTCAGAAACCAGTATAAAATTGCTTCCACAAGTGCTTTCTCTTATATTTGCATCACTATTTAGATGACCTTAGGAAGACTTCAAGGGATCCTCACATTTACAATAGATGAAACAGAAGGTACTAAGGTGAGTCACTGGCAAAGAGTAATGGCAAACTACCAGCACTCCTTTCCTTTGTTTTGAATGCTGCACTAGAGAAGTTTTGACTCTTCTTATCATGGCTCCTCTAAAATATCACTGAGGTTAAACATAGTTAAGTACACACAGAGGAGTTGAGTATGTCACACTTCACACTTCATCTTTGTTTTCTGAGTATGTTATAATATGAACTCACCAACTTTAAACCACTATTTTGATTGAATAGACTACTGCCATAACCATAACAATTTAATATCAATAGAGATGGGATCACTTTAATATTACAGTCTTTGAAGGAGGAAGATGCCAATGATCTGTTCTCAAAGCCAAAAACATCATGGAAGCAAATACCAGAAAGTATTAACGTACAGCTCTGCCTAGAGACTACAAAGAGTTCTAAATTCTGTGATTTCTGCTGTTGTCTTTTCTGTTCCCTCTACATTTAAATTCGTTCCTAAACGTATAAATGATGGTGGTGATATCTGCCAAGTTAGAACACACGAGTGTGAGAATCTCTTTCGGTTTTATGGGGAAAGAGCTAGTTTTGTAAAAGTGAACTAGATTTGGTGTTTCTAAGTACGTGAGAAGTTTTTACCTGTCTACCTAAAATATAGTGTCTTAGGCAACAACTAATTCCAACGACTGATTTATGATATGTATAATTACGCAAACATTTTTTTAAAATACGGTGCTGATTCTACCACCACCACGTTATTAACAGAAGAAATTTTTGGCAGATAAAATAAGGGAAGGTGAAAGCAATCTCTGGCAAATTGTCCAGTGTCTTCACATTAAAATTAAATCATTTCTTAGAACCTTCTTCCTGGCTTCTTTTAAGTTTTAATGAGCTTTCTGATTATTTATAACTTGAAAATAATTAAAGACCTGCAGGGAAGTGCCACACTAGGCAAAAAAAAAAAAAAAAAAAATACTGCCCAACCTTTTATACTACCTCCTATCAGAAGAGTTTATAAGCAGATTCTTTAGCTTCTACTTTGCATATTTCTTACCTTGGCTCCTTCTAAAGGCAAATCATGGCGTCTGTGTTTCCGCATAAGCACTGGGTCAGAGCCCATTCTACTGTGCCTTCCATTTGCATTTGAACTTGCTGTAATTCCAGGCTTTGGAGAACCATCCCCTAGGAGTCGACATCCCAGCAACTGATTAGTTCCAAATACATCCCGAGGACACCAGGCTTCAAGAGGCATTGGCTGATCTCTGGAAGGCAAACTCTCCACAGGATGAAAGTGTCGACTCAGTCTATTGTCAGGTGGGATGGGGGGAGGTCTTTCAGGTGGAGGGGGAGGAGGATCTCTTAAGGGAGGAGGTGGTGCTGGGAGTGGTTTATCTTGTTTCCTCACCATACAAGGAGAAGACTAAAAAGACACAAGAGAAAAAACAAACTAAAGGTTGTACCATGCACTGAAATGACTTCCAGACTAGTTCATTATTGCTCTTGTTTTCTAAGCCATACTGGAGTTTTACTAGATTCCTACGCCATCTTTCAATAAGTTTCTTTTTATCATGTTAATGAAATTAAAAGAAATAAAAAAACCTCATATAAATACTTTTCGTTAGGATTTTTTGTAGAAATGAGTATGTAAATACAAATGTTGTTACAGAAACTACACAGAAAAAGGTAGATCAAAATGATATGGGGATTTGAGTGACATTAAAAAATGTTAATATTTACACATTTCTATGATTTACACATTTATTTATTAGTACATTTATAATTTAGGAGAGATAAAATAAATCCATAAAAGCTGTTTTCAGTTTTACGTTTTTAAAAAGCAACTTGATTTGTAGTATTTCTGGAAAATTTAAAGTTTTGTGTTTTTTTAAAAATTTTTCTTTACATCACTGCAATACAGAACTGATATGAGGCAAATTAGATTGGATCCCATATAGGACTGGCCGGTGCGCTCACTGGCTGAGTGCGGTGCGGGCGACACCAAACCAAGGGTTGCGAACCCCTTGCCGGTCACGTTAAAAAAAAAAAAAAGACAAAATAGAGAAAAAAGTTATCTGTTGTGTTTACGTAATTCTAAATAACATCCTAAGAAGTCATCATATGATCTTAAAATCAAGTTAACTGTAATGTAGTAAAATCAAATACTACTATAGTGTATTACCAAATAATTTTAGGCTATAAAGCATATTAGCAAATATAATTAGTTTTTAAAATCTTAAAGCAAAATAGGCCCTTATCAAGTTTGGAAAAGAAATATACACAGAGAAATAAAATACACTATAGGCCTAAATTTACAGAGTTAGAATTATGTCTTTCATATTAAACGGTAATATAATTACTTTGTAAATATGTACTTCATTGTAACTAATTCCTCCAGGTATGAAAAGGACATATAATTCCCTCTTCTGAGTCACCTTGAAACATGGGTGGTAATTTATTACACTTTAAGCCCTTATGCAAATATACTCCCATCACATTTTTCTTGTAATGACACTATGAAAATGAGTGTAAAGTACCATTTGATAACAGCATGCAAATTATTTTAATGCATATAATGGCCTTTTAAATCCGTTAAACAGAATAACATTCTCTGCTATTTATTTTAGCAAATCACAGGGCTACAGACATGTGCTTTCTTTGAATAATTATGCAACTTTTATAGTAACAAAGCAAGGACTAGGATAGTGGGTTCTTCATAAACAAAATTAGAAAGTATCCAATTAGTTCATGAACAATTAAGGGAACAAGAAATATATGAATAATGGAATTTAAAAGAACCTGAGCAAACAATAATTGCCGCATAAAATCATCATCTGTGTTTCTAATAAAATTAATTTACCTTTGGTGAACCAGTTGGGCTGCCACAGGGAGACCGAACTATGCCTTTCTGAATTAGATCAAGGCGAGGAGGCACTGGTGGCAGGCTGAGATGTGGCATCTGGAGAGGGTCTGGCTGTGGCTTTCTTCTCTGGGCAAGGGGAGAGGATCCTGGTGATGTGACTGGTGAGTTCTGCCTATCGGTGCACTAGAATAGACAATGAGAAAGGTGCTGCTGTTTATTCGATGTGTAGAGCACATGCCTTTCAGTTCTTAAGGAAGACATCTGATTTGAAGAAGGTGTGTGCACTGTACATTTGTTAAAATAAACTCCTTTAGTTTACTGTAATTAATAGATGCAGAGAGCTCACACTGTCCCTCAAAGGGAATATTATGTAAGGAATAGATTGAAGGTTTCTCCTACAATTTGCCGGAAGGGCCTAGGAAAAACAAACAGCAAAGGTATAGTGTAAAGACAACCAAATGCAGATATTCTTCAAGAAACCTGTCTGTATTTTATGAGAAAAGCAGAAACACGCAATGCTGTAATGCACATTGCTCTTGGTTATCTATATTACAAAACTTTCTTTGTGCTTTGTACATTCTATAACTTAGAAATTGCTTTGTTCCACATGAAATATGTATCCAGTGCAAAGTCTGTTTTCCTACAAACCAATTAGATCAGGCTGGGCTTCAACTATACTGGATATTTAAAATAAACAGATTTAAGTCCAAATAATTTTCTTAAACCTTCACAGGGAAAAGAAATCCTCAAGTTAAATGTTTTTCTTTTAGAACAATTAATTAAATCTGGGAAGGTCTGCACTTCTGCTAAAAATTGATAGGTTTCTATGCTACTGCAAGATTTTTTAAAAAATCTTGTCTGGAAAATAAAATAACATCAAAAAGCCACAAAGAAGTACTTTGATTTGTACTTATGCAACACTTCCTATTCTGGAAGTGTGTGTGTGCGCACGCGTGTGTGTGTGCGCGCGTGTGAATGTGTGTTTCGATGCGGCATAACCTGTTTGCTATTTGGTATAAATACATACTAACTAATAAAATAGTCTTACTAGGTTGAACAATATTCTGTTCCAACAAACCAGGTAGTTTTCTTTTCAAGGCTAAGATACTAGTTTTGGAGATCTAGGCTTAATTTTTATAAGCTACTACATTAATCTCTTTTGCTTTGTTACGTATCTGTTTCCAAATTCTCATATTTATAAAGAGTTTTAAGCTTGTTCTTAAGACATTTTCCTCCTAACACTACTCACCTTTATAAGATAGGTGATGTCATCCCCTGACAATTTCATGTGAACTCCAGGAACATTCAGAAAGATTTAGCTATCTTGTCTTTATCTGACTGAGATGACAGATTTGGGTTCACATCCACACTTCCTTTGGCTTTTTTCTCAATTAACTAAAATTCCTACTTTATTCATATTTCTTTAGTTTTTACCTCATGTCCCTTTTCTGCTCCAGGATCTCATCGAGGGTGCTATATTGTTAGTTCTAGTCATCATGTCTCCTTAGTTTCCTCTTGGCTCTGACAGTTTCTTAGACATACACTGTTTTTGATGACCTTGACAGTTTTGTGGAGTACTGGTCAGATATTTTATAGAATGTCCCTTTACTGGGATTTGTCTGATGTATTTCTTATGACTAGACTGAGGTTCTAAGTTTATGGGAGGAGGCCCAGGGAAGTAAAGAGCCATTTTGACCACATCATATCAAAGGTCTATATTATCAACATTATTCATCACGCTTATGTGACTTTGACTACCTGGCTGAGCTATTGTTTATCAGGTAAAATTTCTTTTTTCTTTTTTTTTTTTTTTTTTAAAAAGATGACCGGTAAGGGGATCTTAACCCTTGACTTGGTGTTGTCAGCACCACACTCAGCCAGTGAGCGAACCGGCCATCCCTATATGGGATCTGAACCCGGGGCCTTGGTGTTATCAGCACCGCACTCTCCCGAGTGAGCCACTGGCTGGCCCTAAAATTTCTTTTTTCTCCTCCTTCCCATAGTGTACTTTTTTTTTTTTTGTCTTTTTTCCGTGTCCGGCAACGGATCACAACCCTCAGTGTCGCCC